TCGTTATGTGAAGAGCCCTCAATATTTTGCTTTAGAGGCGTATCTTGTTGAATCGCGAAAATGGGACATTGATTTCATATCTGAACTGCGAAGTCCAACGAGATGTTAAGTGCTTCGATTGCACTTCAAAAGACGTCGTTTCAGCGCTCTGTGGGTTGTTCGGAGAGCCTTCGACGAAGCCACAGTGTCAGGCCACGTCCTGCTGCGTAACAGAGCACAGAGAGAGCGGTTGAATCGAATAGTCGCTTTGGAACTCTGGCTCCGTCTGCTGGTCCGTGGCTTCCTTTCCCAGGCTGCCCATCGACGCTTATTTAGTTCCTATTTCAGACCATTTCTATTCAACGAACGCCTGAGATCTAAGTAAGAAGACGTCTCCGCAATTGATGCCTTCTAATTTCATTCGCTGGTTCTCTGAAAAAGCGCTCTTTATGATTGAGAGCTTCCGTTGATAAGCAGTCCTGTCTGCTATCCCACTTCCGTTCTTTCAACATTGCTTTCGCTTCAGTGATATTTCTCGAGAAAAGGACAATGTCGTCCACAAAAGAAGGTTCGAGAGGAATCTCCCATCACCTCGTATACCTCTCTCGTTCCAATCCAGTGATTTCATCACATTGGCAAGACGGCGGCAAATACTTTGGCGACATGATGCAGCCTTGTTGAACCCCTTCAAAGCTGGTACGCTAAGGAGACGATGGAGCTGTACCGTTGTAGAACAGTTCTTGTAGCAGTCGGCCAATGTCCTCACGGATGAGTCCACCTCTTGGTCGACAAGCGCTGATAGTATGACATTAGTCTCGAGCTGTCAAACGCTTTCTCATAGTTAACGAAGGTTAGGACGAGAGGTAGGTGGTACTCTCGGCAAACCTCGATAATCCTCGAAACTGTCTGGATGGATCCACGCAGCTGAATTTCCGGCGAAATTCAGCTTGTTACCACTAAATGTTACCACTGAGACGTCTAGTAAGCACCACCTCAGTTGGTGAGAATGTGGTTGATCTACGTGAGCATGAGTTGTACCGTTGGGCAACTCCTATATCCACCGCAGGTGTTCTTTCTTCATGAAGATGGAGTTGCCATGAAAACATCTTGCGGTGGATAAGAGCTCAACAAAACGGTTACTACTCAAACCACCCACGACGAATGTAAGGAAGAAATTTCTTTTGCGGGTTTCTTTAATTTCTCATGAGGAGCATCTAATTCCGAGTTCAGCTTCCAATATTGGAGAATAGCAGTGATAGTGATGGTTTTCTGATGCAAACGACGGAGTCAAAGGATATCCGGACAAGGTGATAAGATCTCATACGAATCGACAGGATGGACAACAGATGGGTCTACAACAAATCCAAGCCTCCACGTTCTGTGAAAAAACTTTCTCAGTACAAATTATGATTCATCACTCAGCTGCCTCATGTCCATCTACCTAGACTTTGTCTCCTCACGGCGATACGTGGTAATTGATGCGCCCTGCAGCCAACTTAGCAGCCCTGCCAGGAGTTGCCGAACTCTCACCACATTTTTATCAAATTAACATGATTAGGG